AAAACGCACATTAAACACTTGTTACAGGGCATTGATGTTTTAACAATAGAGTCATGAGTGTGCATAAAAACTGCAGGGCAGTTGCACGCGTCAGGGTAATATTTTTTTTATACATATCATGGATTTTCAAAACCAGTTTTCTTGTATAAGGCGTTACAGTGTTCAAGTCAAAAAATCCGTGAAAACAATGTCACACTAAAGGATTTTTGTCAACGCCAAACTAAATTTTTGCCGTACCAACAAGTTTTGATCTCATTTGCATTAGGAGCAACTTCTGTGACGTACTTCTCTTGCACTATAAATAACAACTTTGACAAACTTCAATTTTGTTAAATCGTATATCTGATGATCTGTTATCTTGTGTCTTTGAAAGCATACCATAAACGACCATTTGAGAGTAAACATTTTGCCTTTTAAAAGCTCTTGAAAGATTTGTCATAARCGAAATTTGAACAGAATTAAGTTCAACGAATTATAGTCATTTTAATTCGTCTGTGAAATAGGAATTGTATTATTAAATACTATTACCCCCTATTAGCTACCAGTACCTTAACTTATGACATGCGACAAACTTAATTAGTTGAGAAAGTTGAGAAAAACAAAATGGCGGCTGTCGCTAGATTTAGATTTTTAGATTTAGCTTCAAAAGCCCTATTTCTCATAACCCATTCGTTGTTATTATGACAAAATAATTTTCATTCCATTTGTGCAATCGTATATGAAGATAGCTTTGGGCTCATATACAACATAGACATAGTGTCTAGTCTATTCTCGCTTCATTTGYTTAAAAACACTTATAATTATGAAAGCAGTGTATTCGGTTCACTTGCTAAAAACCTAATTATTAATCTATAGATAGATATCGCTATTGAGCTTGTGAACAAAAGCAAATAGGTTATCTATAYATTACCAAAAAAGAACAACCACTCTTTTATTCAGAGAACGCTAAAGATATGAAAATGAGGGAGTCACTTTTTCAAATATTCATTGTGCATCCGTAAAAATTAGCGTTCTGGGTTGGAAATTTCAATACAGGTTTTTAATATTATATGCTTGGATGACATCCGAATACGTGGAATAGAAAGTCTGAGCAACGGCACTTTAAAAATTCTCAAAAATTTAAAATGTACAAAATTAAACTTGTCCTTAACTGATCATTTTTTCACACAGTACACATTTTACTGCATTTCCTTAATTTATACACCAATTCTCTCAAAAACGTCTTTCAGATTTMATATCATGATAGTTTGTATAAGTTTTAGGGGAGCTTGCAACGTCTTACTTAAGATAAGAAGATACGAATCAGTTTTTCAAGCAGCTTTGTATAAGATTTGGTCTTTTTAAATTTCCGTGAGATGCTGTTTTTTATTTTCGTGTCACGCCTCACATATTCTTTGACCCCTTTAAACACTTCAGGCTACATACATTAATGTGCTAACGCGAAGGGGCGCGATTTTTTCTGCTTTTTTTGTTATTGCAGTTATAGGGTCAACGCAAAAGGCGGAATAATACAGCTTTAAACTCCTTTTTCATTCAGGAGGAGCACTCATGAAAGAGAAGCAGCCAGCAGACACTTGCCTTTATTTCAATATTTTGAAATAGTCCATATAGCAATTATTTCAAAAAGTATTTCAAAGCGATGCACAACCAAAATGTACWATGAAGGTATTGTATTGATGGCAATTCTTTCGTTTCAAATAAAGATCTTTGGATTTTATTTGGCTTATTTTTGCATTTATTCGCTCTCAAGAATCAAATTTCAGTCTTATGCAGTCGCCTCCTTTCCGCTCCAACAACCTTTTTTTGAAATACCTATTGGAAACGTAGCATTGTACATGTTTCTTGAGTGTTATTAAAATCACTGACTTAGGTCTAATTACTATACACTCAACATCGGTTTCCTAGGCCTCAAAACGCTCCATCGAATCTAAGGACGTGCAGGCTGGTCAAGGTCCAAGATTTCGGGAATGCCAGGAGGGGACACTGTGAATCGATTGACTGACTTGTACGTAATGTGCAGYTCGTCCAAGGACAGTAATTTGAAAACACAGTSTTWAGTTGCGACAGCAGTTTTAGTTCAARAACATGGCAACTYATTTTAAAGTTGCAGCTASGATGTTGCATGATAAAGAAAATRAGGTGTCTATAGCTTGAAAAAACAAATTTAATGCAAACGTTTCGATCGCAACTGCGTTTTGCCACTGCACTGAAGAAGATCGCAGTTGCGATCGAAACGTTTGCATTAAATTTTTTTTTAAGCAAGAGAAACCTCATTTTGTTTAACAACATGGCAACTCGTTTTATATAAATRAACAACAGAAAAGCTTTATTTGCTTTTTAATAATCTAATATTTCAGTYTTGCAATCCTCTTGTTCATCTCAAGAAACAAACATTTTGTCATTCCTATGTTCGGAGAGAAACTGCAAGTGACGCATGCAATTTTAGCATATGCTCGAAGCTAAACATTCGACGAGATCAGCGGCGTTGTTTTGTCGCGCGCAGAAAGCTCACTATGACCAATCTGGACCGTATAGACGACAACTACACTCAAAGTAGCAATAAGTAAATGTGGAAATATTCCACTAAGCTTTATAACCTCTCCCCCTCTCCCTCATCGATGAGCCACATCCTGCCACCCCCCGGAGAAGCAAACTGATGACTCACTTGTCATATAGAAAAATAATCGCAAAATATCGAAACAAATCGGTCTCGTTATTTTTGTTATAAGGAAAGACGACAGAATAGCAAAAGGAACCATCGAAGAGGCAATAAATAGTGCATTAAAAACATTCCGTGTTTCATGCCTTCGACTGCACGTTCCGTTGCGTTTTTTTCACTTTTTAAATTGCATTCTTATTTATTCGACCATTTCCCCCATAAATTTAATTGCATTTACCTGCTTTGTGAGTTTGAAGTAATTAGTTTTTAAGGCAAAAGATAATAATGCAAAATCGCTTGGGTGGAGTTCTTAATCAGTATTTTTCCGATAACAACACTATCAGTCAATTAAGCTTCGTTACGTATCAAAATGCCGACGCAGATCGGGAGTTGCGTAAGACACCGTTTCACATACCCAAGTGTTTATTTTATTTAAATAAATAAATAAATAAATAAATAAATAAATGAATAAATAAAATTTTGACAGGAAATCATTTCGTAGTCCTGGACGTTACGTGAGTTGCTCGTTCCGTTCGACTTGGAGCACGTATGCTGGTAAGCTCAATGGGTGTTTAAAGTTACTAGTTGTAAAAACCAACCTCATTACGTACGTAATTAAACGGCCTACGCAGATGCAAGCGCGTCTTTCCGTATGAAAACGTGCTACAAAATCATTATGTAGCCTGATTAGGACGTCTTTTCGTTTGACTAAAACTACACGTATGCGATATCATGATGTTAAAAAGGCCTCATTACGTACGTAGGTTGCTCACGCTGTAAGACGTGTTATTTCCGTTCGATTCAAAACGTACGTAGATTTTCCACTCTGATGAAACGCGCTTTTCCACTTGACTTGCTGCACGTATGCGCTCTTTTCTTATTACGCGCGTAAAAAATAACAAGAAACGTTTCTAAACTTATTTTTCAAGTTTTACAACTCCTTTACAGAATTGCTTTTTGCTTAATTTTCAGTAAAAATGGTGTAAAAAAATACGTGATGTAGCACTCGTTTTYAAATTCTTAGCATTTTACGTTTGAGTTAACTTACGCAAAGAGAGTGGGCAGCAACTGCCACGTACGCGTTCAACGTAAACCATGCGTWGAAAAAGGTATCGCGATATTTCCATCGCAGAATGTGTTTTGCGTCGATAAATACTGCATAAAAACTCTTAAAAATAACCCCTTTTATCTATCAAAGCTTTTATATTGATACTTTTTTGGAATAGTATATCACATCTTGCTTGCATGCCTTTGCAAATTCCATTAACGTAATTGAAATTGATTAGAATATTCGCAAATCAAGCGAATAGTGTTTCGYAAGTGCTTTTAAACAACTGGAGCGAAGAACATTAGGCCTTTTGTCCGTTTAAATCACAAATATACTAAGGGAGGAGACTGAAGCTCATACAGGCACAAGTACT